ACCAAAATTAATAACTTTATTTTATTAATTTTATAAACATTAATTTTATAATCATCGATTAATTTAATTAATCTGTTTGATTATTTTAATTAATTGTTTGAATAAATGCCTATTCTGTATTTTTAAAGAGTCATAATGCATTTCATCCGCTTAGGTTTTGTTATAATAATAATTATAAATTAATCAATCTTATCCAAAAAAAAAAAAATAATCAATTAGATAAAATATTACAGTTAAATGGTATTAGTTGATATAATTCCTCTAAGCATAGATTATATACAATATTTAAAAGAACACTTGCTTTAACAAGATCAAATAAAAAGGGAACAGGAATAATACATCATATTTGGTAGATTTATTTTAGATATTTATAATAGAAAAAATTTAGAAATAAATCCGTTTTTTCATTGCTATGAATGTTCAATTTTTAAATAGCCAAAAGGATATGCATTATTAAATTCAATAAATTAATTTTATAAAATTATTAATTTTTAATTTATAAAAAATTTACTATTAGTCTTTTATTTTAATCTTTTAATACCCTTAAATTTTGAACTTCCTCTTTCTGTTCATCATTATAATATACATTATTTAAGATTGTACTTTTAGTAATTTCAAATTATCATTAGAATTTGTCAACCTTGAACCCTTCAAATGCTTCTATCCTAAATTTTTCTTTTTAATTTTTGGTATTTTATCACAAAAAGTTACTATTCAAAGCCAAAATCTAATTAAAAGTAAAAGTGTAAATATAATTGCACTCTTTTAATTCTCCAATTTAGAAGCAGTTAAAGTGTATTAATCTGTTCCGTTCCTAAGTTAGATTTCAATTTTAACGCTAAGTTCAATATATTTTTCTTGACTAAATGAATTTAATTAAAAAATTCTCATAAAGATCAACTTTACTAAATATATAATCTAAATAATTAAATAAATATTCATGGATGTGATAAATTCATTGGCCTTAGATACCAAATTCTCTTTTGCTATTCTAGTTCTAATTAAAAAAAATTGTTCATTCTTTTCATCCAAGCATAAGCTTTGTACTATAAGCATTCATCATTTCCTTTAGATTTAAAATTTAGCATTAATAAAATCAGATAGCCTTTGTTATGATAGGTTTTTTGGACACATCTCAAACAAACTTTTTAATACACTTGGAACTGACTTTTCTAATAGAAAACTAAACTCTCTGAATTTTTATAGTATTTCATTTTGTTTCTAATAAACAATTTCGAGGTATACTAATACTTTTTCCTTGGCCCACTTAATCCACATTTAATCCTTGTCATTTTCATTTTGTAAGCCCTAATTTTCCCTTGATTTATTTTCTTTTGATCAATGTCCACCAACGGAATCAACTCTTTTTCTAGTCTATTAACTGAATTTGCAGATTCCAATAAGAGGTCTAATGGTTTCAACAAACTTTATTAGATGGCTAAGAAATTAGGAGATAAGTAAATGGCACTATTGAGATCCTCCTCAAATGAAGGAGTATCCTGTTACTTATTTTTTTGATCATTCCTCATGCTCTTTTTGAAACTGAGATTCACTTAGAGATTTAAAATCAATAATGGATAATCGTTAATTCTTCACCGCTCTCCTTCCTTTGGAGTAGTAAACTTTTTAATAATATCCACCCATGACCAACAAGTTTAGCAAACAACATTCTCTCTAATAAAATTGGTACACATATAGTCGATTCGAATAAGCAATTTTACAATTCACTCTCCAAATAATCCTCAGTCTCAGTATAATAGAATCGATATTTCTCTCTTAGCTTATCTTAGATGTCTCCAACTATAGTACTCCGCCATTACACAGTGTTTATCCTCCTTGAGCATTATGTTATTTTTGTTAGCTTTCGAAATTGGACAAGGTCATAGGCAAAGTTTTATGATTCAGCAATACATTCAAGAGTGGGAAATTCTAATACAATTGTGATCTTGCAGTTAAAGCATTCAAATTGTTGACTAATACAGTAAATTTAGAATAGTGCAATTGAGAGACATTTAATCTGATTTAGACCATACCCCAATTATCTTAAATTTTGACTTGCTTCACAGGTTGTTGCCCCAAAGATTGAAAACTCAAAATTTTAGTTTCACTCTATAATTATTTAGTTAATCCATATACGGCTTTTTGGTTTATTCAAATCTATTCTTGATTCTTAATTGAAGCCATTCGATATAATTCTTATTCGCTTCCATATCTTTAAGAATTGAACATTTTTTCATAAGCATGATATACTCTTTTGAACTTACTTTACTAAGTCTTTTTTGAGCAACTCAAGATGTTGCATTTATTTTCTCTTGATTTCTGGATCTGTGATCATTTACTTTGCTTCATCCTTGAATGTTTATATCTATGGGAATCCAGGAGCTATCTTACTTGGATCTACTTTCGTAAGGTATGGTAAATACTGTATATTTGTCAATCTTTTTCTACATTTCAAGAGATAACGCATATGTCATAGAATCAGGCAGAGAATCCACTTATTTTAAGAATCTCAATTCATCATTTGCATTCTTTGTCTTTGTTTACACAATTCAACTCTTTGTTCAAACTTTACAGGGTCTTCCAAGTAAAATTATAATGATAATCTGCCAATCCTTTTGATTTTGTTTGATCTCAATATTTTAACTTCGAATTTACCATTCTCAAAACCGATCACTTCAACATCTGTCCAAGTGTATTTGTCTAATTCACCAAACATCGAACATTTTTGCATGTGGAAGATTACTCTATATACAAATTTCTATCCATTCTTAAGGAGTTCTATCTTCATCCCAACAATCGTACTCCTTTAACCTTTTGTTAGTCATTCTGCCTCCATAAAAACAGTTTTTATTTTTGGAATCTCCTCTGGTTATGAATCATTGTCATCTAAATTATTGAATCACTTATTTACACTTCTGAAACTCTGTAAATTCCTCTCCAAGTGTACCCCAAATTTATAAACTTGGGAACAAAATTTGATCATTATGAATTGAATCGGGTTTCAAATCAAAATCAAACTTTAAACTTTGCGCTGGAGATGCATTTTGAATTTAAGAGTTTTTTTTGTTTACCCCTACAAGTTAGGTATTTAGCTCTTAATTCGCCTTGAGCGTGTCAGTTTCCATTTTTATTCTTTCCTCTACCTCTCGATGTTCCTTCAGAGCTGACTCATAAACAAAAGATGGCTTGCTTATATTTTACATTAGACCTACCTTATTTTTTATAACATTTACCCAAAGTCCTTTTGCACTTAGAATCCATTTCGAATTTTGAAATAAAAAATTAAATCATAAACCCAATACTTCTAATATACATTCACATCATACTTTGGACCAATTAATAATCCTACTTAAGATGAACTTTATCGTATTTGACTTAAGTATCAAAAAAATTATATCAAGTAAGTTATTCCATCTGCTTAGATCCATGAATCCAATTAGTAAACTACCTATCTTTTTGATGATTAAAGTAGTGTAACGAAAGTAATAAGGATTATGATTGGCTAACAATATTCTCAAAAATGATTAAAATTAGCAACACTGAAAAATTTTGAATTTTTTAGCTCAAATTAAGAGACCTCTAAACTCTGTATTATCATTATACTTCTTAATTTTTAAGAATAATTGAGATAATAATGATAAAAAACATATTTAATCTTAGCTTTACTGTTAAAGCAAATTATTAAATCCTTGATTTCTTATTTAAGAGTTTAAATACTTACATACACTTTAATCATCAATCAATATCAAATAATTAATCTGAAAAACAACAATTTTGATTAAAATTATATATTCCCAATAAAAGGCAAAAGATCAATTGAATCAAATATATAAAGGATGAATAATATATAGATTTTACAATTTTATCCCTATATTAAGATATACATATCATACAATCATTATTATGGCTGAGGATATTTACCATATCTTTTAAAGCAATCTTTGTATTTTTTTAACATTAAATTGCTGTCCATCAAAATGTATTCAATTTATGATCTCTTTTCGTGGCTTCTCAATCTTATTTGTATTTTTTAACAAGCCCTTCAATTGGCCAATCATCATCAATATTCATTCTCACTATATTTTTCTTTTTTTCAACCTCTTCTTATGGTAATTTGCTTTTGCCTATCTCTGCAATTCTTTTATTTAATCAATAGAAATTTCTCTGCTTCTTTGTATTGTTATGGAGCTTGTTCCTTTTGTTTTAATTCAATAGTTATTTTTTGATTAATCTAATAACCTGTATTCATCACCAAATTATTTAAATTATGAGTAAATGAAATATTTTTGTTCCAGGAATTTTATTTTACTCTCTCTATGACTTATTTATCTTTTTGTTCTTTGAAAATAGATGTTTATGAGATTTTTATGCTCGTTTAACAGTTTTTCTCTTAGCCATATAATAAATTAATTATAAAATTAATAATTAAGTTTCTTATAGAAAATATGTACGTTCTGAAAATAATGCATATATCAACTCTATTCTCAGAACTTTTACTTTGGATGGTTTCTTTTAGAAATTATTCTTAATATATTACACTAATCAGTGTGTTATTCTACATCTAAATTCTTTTACTTGCATTTATTAGGAATTTATTTTAACTATTATTTGTTATTGATCAAATCACTAGTTTAGAAAAAACAACTTGATTATTCAAATTAAGATTTTTGGAGAAAGAAGTCACTTTCAACCCAACGCAGAAGAATATCCTGCTTATAATTCAATAGATTTGCTTTCTGAAGGCGATGAAATTTCTTTGGCAGTTTAATCTAAATACAATCTGAATGTTCTATTGCATAATTAGTCTAATCTAATAAATTTGGAATTTAAATCAAATTCATCGAACAATGCACATTTGCTATTTGATATGTGAAAAGGAAGTGATTTATTTATTTGAATGGAAGAATCAATCATAAAGGCAAATTTGAAGTTATATCCTAAATAGTCTTTCATGAATTATAATTTATTTATCTAATAAAAGAATAAACTTCCAAAGATATCAATCTTAATTCAGAAGTGAATACTTCTTTCTCTTATAACTAATAAGTGTCAAGGAAATTGCCAAACTAAAACAAAAATCAAATTAAATTAAAATAATTTATAACATTTGATTTCCTATATTGCAAATTTCAAGTAAAGGGATTTGACTTGATTTATCATATTATCTATGGTTTTATTGTGTAAGCTAATTGCTAAACATCTTGAAAAATTGAATAAATCTTGGTTAAGATAAAAAATCGTTTTTTAATTTAATCTCATTATCCTTTATAGACATAGAACCAAAGGCTTCAAATTATTGGTGAAGTATTATTTTTTTAAATAATTGATAGCACTATTTATAAACCATTTGTTAAATGTAATGAATTAATATTAATCATAATTTATATTCAATTAATTCTTAATATGTTAAGTAAAAATTAGTTACTCATGAATACATTCATGAATTTACTCTTCTTAACCAATCAAACTGTGATATATTAATTTGATGCAAATGTTAACAATATTGATGGTAATGGTAATTTAAAATATTATTTTAGATTGGAAATCATCAAATGGTAATTATTAATTCACTTCTTGTGGAGGAATTCCCTATTTTTATTCAACTAGAACTGATATTCTAATATAATTGAACATTAGTATTATACAAGATTATTTTTAAATCTCTAACCTCATTCTCACATCTAAGTAGATGCGTAATTTATAATGTAATTCTAATTATTTTATGTTAATAGTTTTGAGAATAGTTGGAATACTTTTTACTTGGATTTAATTAAAAAAAACTATTAAATAAAGAATACATCATCATACAGTTTCGGTTACGGTTCTTCATCAACTTAATTTATTTAAATTATTTCAATTAGTCTTTCACATAAAAGAAAATCTTTTGGATAAGAATTAAACATTTCAAGGCAGAATTAATAAAATTATCATTAAGTATCAAATGTGAGTATAACTGTGCAGAATGTTTTGATTAATATTAAGGTTAGTGCTTAGCATGGTACTCCATTAATATTCATTTAATTAGAAAAACATTGAAACAAATTCTAATGGATGATCTTATACACTGAATAAACCTTAGTTTTCGGATTGCGCGGAATACTAAATTTTAGAATTTAATCTAATTAAATATTCTACAATACTACCTCCTCATTAAGATAAAATAATAAGGTTTTATAAAATATAAGACCCGATCTATGTATACTATATTTTTGGTTAAGAATTAATAAATGTTGGGTATGCAAAATGAGATAGTTTAAAAATTTGAATAAACAAAAAAATTTTAAAATTGTTTTCAATTAATCTAGATAAAAAATTAGATCAGAATTATTGAATCTCATATAATAACTTAATTATAATGAATGAAATGGAAAAATTATATTCTTTAGGCCACATCATTTTTACTCAATTTTGAATTAATACCTAATTAAATTTGATAGAAAACAAATACAACAATAACACAAACAATCATAAGAGGAAATTATTAAAATGTGTTAAATATGAATAGAGGAGGATTAATCTCAAGATCATAAATTAGTATTACTAATGCAGATAGTTGTTTTCGAGATATTATTTACACAGTAGCAGGAAATTTTGGGTATACAGGGAACCTTATTGGAACTTCAATAATAATTGATTTATAGCAAGCCTATGAATTAAATACTTTAAAATTATGGTTTTATGATCTAGACAGCAGATCCTACACTATTAGAGCTTACGTAATATTCAATAATACAGACAAAATTATTTCTGAAAGTTATCATGGATAATCAATAACTATTATATTCAATCTAAATGGCAATACTTACAATATTGGATTTAACATCCTCAAGGTAGAAGCCTACTTTAGGCTCTAAACATATCTGTAAAATTACTTATGATCAATTTATGAAATATGCACATGTTATTTGTTAATTAATTTTGAAAGAATAATGACTTAATCTTTTCAATTTTCATGAAAAAATTTTGTAAATAGATTTTTTAATTAATTGAGTAAACTCGGTCCAAATTTCTTTATTTGAATGATTTCATTTAATTTCCATTGGTTTCATAACTAAAGGGAACATTCTACATTATAGAGTCGATTATTTATATTGGCTTTGCTTGAGGTATTTTAATTAAGACTATTTAAAACAGCGAAAGAATATTTAAATGAAAGTATAAAGTTATGAAAATTGGATCAGCAGGCTCTAACTATCTATTCAATAACATAATTCGTTTCCTTTTTAAACTTATAACTTTTTTTATTACCATTTTATTTATGAAAAAATATTTCAAATTAACAGAAAAGAAGTCTATATTCAGAGTTATTTAGATTACCTGAAATGGAGACTTTAGTTTCCCACTTGCAAGCATAACATTTCTTTTAAGAGTTCTTATTCTAAGATTCTTGGACCAAAAAAATAATGTTAAATTGTTTCTCCAATTTATACCGACAATAAGAATGTACCTTAACCTAAGCTGTAGAAACCTGTAAGGATCACAGCTATGTCAGTTTAAATCAAAACAAGTATTAGTTTTCTTTTTTGCATTAAAAAAGTGGATTCATTCAAAAAAATTTGTTTTGGTTGTAGATTCTAACACTGTCAATCCATATAAAAATAGCTAATAGGTTAATAAATACTTTTTGGAATACATTAGTAATTTTCATTATAGTTTAATTTTGATGACAAATGCACTGTTAAAGCACAAATAGAAATCGTAAATTAAATCAGCATTTTTAAGAAAAAGCTCGACTAGTATTGTACAGATTCGTTTTTTGATAGGTAACAATAATTTATTTAAAAACTTTGTATTTCAAATTTGGGGATTTTAATTTTGATTTGATAATTAATTTACTGTTTTATTTTCTAAACAAAAAGTATTTTCACATTAAAAAATCAGCGGAAGAAGAATCTTATTTTAAATGAATAAATGAATCTTATTTTAAAAAAATTTGTTAAAACTACAATTGAAGTAAAGGTATATTCATCTTGTTTAGTAGCCTTATATATAAAAATTATATCAATATGGTGAAGAATTATTTAAGTTAAAAAGGGAGGAAATAAATCTGTGTTAAAATAGAGAAATTGAATAATATGGCATCAATATATTCTAATTTATTAACTGAAACACTTTAAAAAAAAAATCCCAACAGTTTGCGTAAAAGAGTTGTATAAAGCCTTTCTTAGAGTAAATAGTCCTTAAATTTAAGATTTTTTTATTAATTTAATATAGTTTAATTATTAGCCAACTGAACCATTAAGAATTCACTTGCTGGACAAAATAAATATTTCTGAATGTAAAAAAATACTTATTCAAGATTTTTGGATAAATTTATAAAAATAAGTACAACAAACCAATGAAGGCAATTTAAGAGAGTTAACTCTAAATATTTAAATGTAAGTCAGCATTTATTTGATATTCTTAAAACTTACCTATACTTGGAATGAAGTTCTCAGTAATTAGATTATTAAGAAGATCTGTTTCTATAAAGTATATTAAAATTGGGATAACTGTTACAATTTCTGAAGATTGAAATAAATCTATAGATTTAAAGGGTAATTAACATTTAAAAATTTCAAATATGATTAAAATTGTAAAAGGTCAAATATTTCAAAACATGGTAATGGTTATTTGAACAATAACATCAGTATGCTAATAGCTCCTAAGCCTATAATTAAAATATTTCCAAGATTTTGGAACTTATTTGCAATATTATTAATTTAATTTTAATTGATAATTTTAGGTGTTTTAAGGAATAATGATTATGATGGGAGATTAACTGGCATATTGTTATTATCAACTAAAGATGAGTGCAAGGAAATGGAAAAATTATGGTTCTATTGACATTTATTCAAACATGACAATATCAAACTCGAACAAAGCCATAGTAAAATAAGTTGAATTAATATCCACTATAATAATATTACCGAGAGAAATCATACAGAGTTAATTGTTATTTGATATTGATATTAATTTAAATTGATTGAGTAAAATTTAAATTCGAAACCAATTTCGCTTCATTAGAACTTTAGTAAAACAAATTGATGTTCAAATGTTTGATTTTAACATTTTAAGGAATATTAGTTTATAAAAAACAGGAATTAGGTGAATCTTTATTACATTTCCAATTTTCTTCTATAATGCAATAGCTGGAACATCCATTACCGTTATAGTAATTTCCATCATCAAATTCCTCTAAATTTATTAATTTCCATCTCCACATTTTTCTACATATTGATTACAACGATTTCATTATTTTCATCAAAATCATCGATTACTAATTTTTGACATTCTTTTTTAATTAAATTATATCCTTCATCACATTCCTAGCACACACCTTTTACGCATTTCATACAATTTTAAGTGCATTAAAAGTGACATTAATAACATCCATAAAATTGAATATCATTTTTGTATTCACACTCTTCTCATCCTTATATAATAATTTCATCTCCACATATTGATTTACATTAATTTTTTCATTCTATTCAAGGTTTTCTACACATAATAAACAAGTATTTGTACTATCGCATTAGAAACAGTATGAATTGAATTCTAATTTGCAATTATACCATCCATCCTAAGGTTGATAATTTCCATCATCACACTGCTCTAATGAAGAGATGGCTAATAAACCATCCCACAAATTTGATAACATTTTTTAATCTATCAGTTACCAACCATCAATACAAGAATAGCATTATTTTTGGATGCAATAATTACATTCTAATTAGCAACTTAATTAGCACTTATAGCAATCGTCATATTGAATATTATTTTAATCATCACAAATTTCATTCTCAATAACAATTCCATCATCACATTTCAGAATGCACTAATTCTTATTTAACGATGGTTTATAAAAAGTTTAACATTCTAAACATTGACCAAATAAACTATATAAGCAATTTTCTATTGTTTTTCTCTTAAAATAATATTCAAATATATCATATATTTCTTTTTGTTAATTCGAAATTTGCATGGGTTATGGCTGCTACTGATCAGGAAGCTAATATTCTCTTTTCATGATTCTGAATTCAACTTGCATTAACTTTCATATTTCAATAAATTAAAAATTGAACATTAGAGTTCATACAATGGTTCTAAACCATTAATATTTTTATTTCTTAACATCTATTATCAATTAATTCGTAATTTGATTAACACTTTAAACATTTTCCAAACTCACATTATTAACAAAAAAATGGGCTAGAAAACCTGCATTAAAAACACCCATTATTGATACCTGATTTACATGGCCACATTATTCTTATCCTTAAATGATACCATCCAGGAAATTGGATGACAGACTTTTTATCAATATATATATTTAATAAAAGACTTTATTTATCAATTATTTTAGTACAATCAACCAAATATCAGTGTTATATTTACACATTAAGTCATATATTAAATTTTACTTGCAAAAGTAGAAATTCAAACTGAATTAAATAAAACTAAAATCTAAAATGAAATAATTTAACATAAAGCTTTTGCTTTAAGAGAAATAAATTCTAAATCATACATTCTTTGTATGAATTCTATGAATGTCCTTTACCCACCACCAAAAATATATAATATCTGTAATTAAATCTAAACTATTAAAGATTATAAGAATTTTCACGAAATGCCTTGCAAATTGCGAAAATAATCTCACCATGACAATATATCATTATAGGAATTGATTACAAGTTGCTAAACATCATTATAACTATCTCTATTCCAAGGCGAAAAGTAACATGATTTCATTTTATCCTAGTGATATCCATCAATTTAATGAAACTTATATAATTTCAAAATTTCGAAATCTACTATTTTAAATAATATTTCAATAAGTAATACTATATACATATTAGTCTTATTGATATCACATAATGATAGTCTGGTGAAGTATTACATTTTAAAGTAGGGTCAATTTTGCTAATTCCTCAGATAGTAATTACTAAACCAAAATAGTATACAAATCTACAAAGGGCATTTAAAGCACTTAGAATTTTATTTATCTACTGAGAATTGCTCCTCACAAAGGGATTCTAAAGTCATTTTCAATATCTTGAACACTTTAACTGTCAATTAGATTATTTTTATTCAGATAAAAACAGACTATTCTTTGGGATTAAATATCCTTATCGAAAACCAACTTAAAGCTTTATCACAAGTCAGAAAAACAAAATTTAAGAATAATTATTCATTAATTCACATCATCATTCCACATATTTAAGATGATTCAATTAATAACAATATCTAATAAGTAAGCGCATTACAGCTTTAGGGCTGAGACAATTTAAAAACACAGGTAGATTGTTAGAAGAAATTCAAAGAATAATTTAGCAAGGAAACTATTATTATTGTAAGCTCAATTGTTTAATTATTCTTTATCATAATCTTATAAAGGTTTTCTTAAAATAACCTCCCTATATATTGGTCAATGTTGTTAAGGGTTGTTTCATCACTTGTGAATAGGTGAAAGTCATTACCATTTAAAATATGATATTCGTTTGGTTATTTTAAGCTGACATAATTTTTGAATTTTCAATTGGTATTACCTACTTTCTGATGGGTGATTCAAGGTTTTCAAATTAATAAATATAGAACTCTGCTTCTCTTCCTTGTAATAAAGCCAATTATTCATTTTTAGTTCACTTAATACTTATGTATTCTAATGATTTTCTTAAATATCCTATTCAATCACAGTTCTTCTTTTGATCCATTGATATTTACAATCTAATTTATCTAGTAATTGATTTGTTAGGATTCTTTCTGTACTATGAATACTATTCTTTATCAAAAGTAACACATTAACGCCTTTAACAATTAAGATTGTCTCTCATAGTTAGGTTGATTTTCATGTACTTAACTTATAATGTATATAGATACATGTCTTATACTGGTTAATTTTAATACTGTGACAAGAATGATCATGCGATTGAGCAATTTTGCTCTAATAATTCTGTAGTGGGAAGGAATTACAATATTTTTTATATGTTAAGAACTAAATGTTTAGCCAGGCATTTACAGAATGGATCGAAAATTGTTGAACAGTTTCCTACAATTAACTCATCAACACTTAATTTACAGACTGGCAAGAAAATTCAAGTATAAAGATCTTGGATATGAATGTGCATCATCTACATACTCCTAAATCTAATTTATTCATTTAGAGCTCCAGAATATTCGAAGAATTAGGTAATGGTTTTGACAAAAATTAATACATCATTCAGAATCAGCATTTGATGATACAAAGTAAAACAATTAAACTTGAAAATTATTTTTGTTGACACACGAAGCATAAGATATTAAAGGGAGCATTGTAGATATCAGAAAATAAAGTGAATTTACTTTCTAAAGGGTTTAGTAAAAATCAGGAAAGTATAGTTTGGTAACCAAAATTTACAAATACTGAGATAAAACTTGTTACATGAAAATCATTTTAAGAAAATGTATAAGTTGACATTGGACTCAAGCACAGGTTCATTTTGAGAACTGTACCATTGAATATTATACAAAACAAGTACAACATTATACACCACAAGGATAATAAAACAGATAGAAAAAATGTGATAAATTTGGAATACCATCAAATTTTAACTATCTTCACTAGCTGAAGACATACGAGGCATGGATTTAATCACTAATAAATTTAGTATTCATCAACCAGATTTGTATATCTGATTTGATCATCTCATCAAAAATAAGAATAGATAATCAACTAACATTAAATCTAAAAATTACAACGAGGTTATTTATATAGGATATATTGTATCATACTATATGAATACGAACAAAGAGGATTAGTCGTAAAGCTGTTCAGGTTTCAAAAGGGTCAAGTTCTTCAGGCAGTGATAGCTGATACATTACAACTTCTCCAAAAAAAAAACCTCTAAACCCTCTAAATGTATCGACATGATGGCAAAAACAGTGCATGCAGTTTAACATCAAGGAGATACGATATTAGCAGTATTGATCAAACGCAAAATGTTTCAAATACATCCTAAAATAAGTGCATTTTTGTGCAGGCTTTAGATGATTCACAAGCCTAATTATCTTTTGCAATTACCGATGTAACATTTTGAAAATTTTGCAAATTCAAATATCAACAAGTGGTATTGAATTTAAACACTTAAACAAAAGAGAAATCAATTGCTTGCATTCAATTAAGAAGACGAAAGTTTTCGTTGTTATTTCAGTACTTTGCTTATAGGATTACAAGTTAACTAGCATCTTTTAATCCTCTTGCTAGAAGTAAATAATAAATCACAAGTTACTAGTGGCAAGCCTTATTCCTGTGCTTATATAATGTTTTGACAATTAAACAGAATCGTTTATGAAAGAAGCAGCTGATTTATAAGCTGAATAATTTTAACCAAGACTTTGTTTATTTTTTGCATAGTAAGTACAAAAAGAATGCAGAATTTTTGATAGTCAGGAGATAATCAACAATGTATAGAGACTGAGCTAGGAGATTTGTAATTTGTAGACTAAAAGTTACAACCAGCCACAAAAATTAAAACTTGAGGATCACGTTAAATTAAAAAATGAAACCAGATCTGAAATGTAAATTTCAATAAGTTAAGTTAACCTTTGTGCTGTTAGTACAAGATGGAATCTGGCGCTTTTGTAGCAAAAAAAATCCATACCGTGTTTAATTAAAAACATAAACAATATTTGTATGTAGGACTACAGAGCCTGAATTATAGCAGAAATGTCTAGCTACTACAACATGTCAAACAATTATTTGACTCAAATAGGAAGGTGATGCCCTAAGTAATAAACACAGAGAAAGAGAAACAACTTTTATCAAACCAATATTGGTACATTGCTTAATAGTAAATTAAGAACTCTTTATTAGTCTCCAGTCATAAAAAAATAATATTATAATATTAAGTTTTTAATCCTAATTAGTATAATTTCAACATAATAGGTGCTTGAAGGGAGCCATTATACATGCTCGTAATTTAAGCATCATACAGATCTTACAAATAAATTGGAGATATACAAATGTGTAGAAGGTTTATATTATTATGACTGGATTTTAACGATGCAAGGTTTTGTAAATAGTTTAAAAGCATTGCTTGATTTAAACGCCACCCAGTTTTTAAGCTCAAAACTAACTTGAATTAAAACACTGAACTTTTATTTCAAGATATCATTTATAGGATTGACTATGAACTAGGCTTTTGTTATTAAACTATCCTCGAAGAAAACCTAAGAAAATATAAAGTTATCTTTGTTTCATAAAAAAGTATGAAAGGAGAAATTTTTCAATTAAAATTAAGGTGCCAAATGAAATCCTCAGTAGACTTAAATTTAACTGATGACTATCTGAGGATAATAATTTTAGCTTATAATTCTAGTAAGATGAATAAATAATAAGATTAAAGATCAAATAAAAGAATTAAGCCAGCCAGTCAGCATGCACTAATAACTAAAATTATAAATTCTAAATTACACAAAGACTTGCAGACCTAAATTAAATTATATCATAATCATTAAAAGTTGGAATATTGAAGATGTACATTCGAAGAATTATAATTCAATTATCATAATATTATTCTTCAATTTTAAAAAATCGTTTTCATTATCACCGTTACTTTTTATCAATTTTGTCCATGAACCAACTTTTTTTCCATTTACATAAGATCCTTTGCAAATAACTTAATGATAAATTGTAATTCCGCTTGTTGCTTCCACCGAATCTCCCATCTTAATTCCATCCCCTTTATCATCATACTATCCACCACCACTTAAGCAAATTAAAATTTTATAAATACATCACTTTTCCCTCACATAAAATATCCCATATATTAACCTTGTTACCTTTTACATATGAGCCTTTATATATTACTTTCCATGCAATAGTAAACATGCTACACATAGCTTTCTATTCTATTGACATTTGTGAGGACTTATGCATATTAGATTAAGTGGATATTATGGATGCTCTTAACATTAATTCATTAATATGAATTATAATATAATCTATTTATTTTTATAGAAATAATAAATGAGAATTGTGTAAATGAAGTTAAAGCCTTTTTTTTTTTTGCATACATCTTTTGAAAAAATTATTTACCCTATATAAATTAACTACTTAATGAAACAATTTATGAATTTGTAAAAAACCCTTTATTAAAAAATGATGGCACACTCCTTTGATCAAAATTAAATTATGTTAACCTACACAAAAAATATTATGATTCAAAGTTAAACACCAACTAAAAACAACATATTTTTTGTTGTTAAAACGTTAATTTTTCAGTATTCAAATAATTTTGCTTATAAACATTCAGCTGCCAACAATGAAAAATCTTTGTTAAGCAACTCTAAATTATGGTAAATCTTATCTAAATGAAATTACTTAAATAACTAATATAATATTTCAAAGGTTTATATTATACTTAAGAACACTTCTTTGTTTACTTGATGCTTTTTAAATTTAAAAACTGATACTATGATAACAACAACTTATTTCTAAAAGAACCTCACATAAGAGTATTAAAAGAATCTCTTATCGAAGACATTTGTAATTAACTTTGGAAAAACTTCCTAAGCAATCATTATAGAAATTATTTAAATAAGACATATATTTTCTTTAAGATCAAAGCTTTTTCAAATTTAATTAAGAAATTATCCTAGGATTAATAAAATTTAATTATGCTTCTGCATTTTATATTTTAAATTTTCTTAGCTGTTGTTTCATTAAAATTTATTGCTTTTATAAAAAAATGGTAGATTTATTTTAAATTGCATATAAACCAAGTAGCAACAACAATCAACTTTCAATTTAATAGTCAGCGTTTTAACGAGATAATTTCAAACCTTCTGAGTAATCAATGAATATCTACTATTTGTTTGAACTTATCTATTTTTCTGCCATTCATTTTGTCTGATTATAAAGATATTATGAAAATTCGTATTATATAATTGTTCATTAAATACCCCTAATTTAAGAAAAAGTAATACATAAGCCAATAAGTAAGATTTGAATTGAAAATCATGTTAATTAGTGACCTGCTTCGCCCTAAAATTAGAAAGCAAAATATGGATAACTGCTGCTTTTTTAAGTATTTTAAAAATATGATTCAGGCATAAATTTCTTCATAAATTATTGAGATTTTGGTTACATAAATTACAAAATCAGTTTGTTTCATCGTTTCAATATATCTTTCTCCTTCTTAAAAGGTGTTTAAAATATCAACAAATTCCACATAGGGCATTATTTATTGAATAATATTGTGGTTATTTTTCCCAAATTTCTGCCATTCAAACATCATGTTTATCTCTTAGCATCTATGGTAAGTAGTATGGATCTACAACGTCTGAAGGCTCCCTAAATTTTTTAAAGGTTACAACCTTTAAAGTAGAAAATTCAAGCTTTAAAAAAGCATGAATAAATTAAAATTAAGAACAGATTCAAATACTCCTAATTGATGATAGGTTATGTATGTTGTTATTATATATATTCTATCAACTTTGAAGCAACCCTTAGTGTATTTGGGCCAACAATTGCCGTTTCGTTTATTGATATTTGGAGAATCAAAGTATATAAATCTTTACAAAATCCTATCGAAATATATTCACACATCACCAAACAATTTTACCTTATCTAAATCCCGCTATTCTCTGTCCATATAAATAGTAATGTTGGGGCTGAATTTTAAAAGCGATAACTTTATTTTTACTGACTTAGCACCTTGATAAGCAAAGTGGTTTAGGTTTTCTTTGTAATTTATAACTTAAGAAACGCTCTACTATAATAGTAACTCCTGAGAGTTTTAGATATAAACACATTTATACATATGTATGCATGAAGGTAAGACTAATTATTTTGGAGGTTTTAGTTTTTGATAACCTAACTAACCTATAAAAAAAATTGAAAATCTATACAATAATATTATTATAATATAAAACTAAGACACAAGAGATACAATAGAAAACTATATGCGAAATCAAGCATTTATTGTGATAAATTATATCCGTCTAAAGAAAACAAAATATTTCAAAACGATGGGACTTAATTGCTGCTCTAATAATTCTTAAGGTAAGATATAATAGAATATATCCCCCAATTTCATAGATTGGTAAATAAACAAAGTTTTATATCGAAATTCAAAGTTAATTTTAGTTGCAAGGATTATTGAAAATCTTTATAGGTTATTAAAATCTAAATATTTTGGTAAAGTTATCACTCATGCTAACCTTAAATTTAGATATAGAAGGAATAATTTTATCAGGAAAAGGGTTCATTTACGCTAAGGAAATACCAAATAAGTAATAGTTCAGACAAATAACGATATTAAGCACTTTTTTGAAATTCATGGAGTTAAGCTTTATGGGTAAACTTCAAGTGTACTGCAATGATAATTTGAGGTTCTATCTGGCTGGCTTTATCTGGGGAGAGGATCATAGGTGAACATTAGTTAATTAATAGTTAACATTA